AAAAAAGTTTCCCTTCTTTCTCCATTGAGCATGATGTTATTTGTGAATTTCTTTTTTATATTAAGTTTAAGAAAATAGGTCTATAAAATCTTGACTGTTTTATGGAATATTCTTCCTGGTGTAGGCTACTCAAAAGTGAAAGATGTTCACAAATACTTTTAAGGAATTTATCAAAAATATAATTTGACTTTTTCCAGAAATGACTTTTCAAATAGAGTCACAATGTTACGATTGAGAACATGGGCTTTGGAGTCAAGACTGTTCAGATTTAAGTCCCAGCTCTTCCACCACAAGTTGTGTGACCATGTATAAAACTCCCTCTGCCTTCATGATTGCCTCTCTAAAACGGAGATAAGAAAAATTAGCTTCGTTTAATTGCTGTCAAATATTTTTTATTAAAAGTGCTTAGTAACAGCATCAATCTTTAAGTCTGAATTATCTGACAAACGACGGAACTCTTCCTTTTTATATTCATATATGACACTGCCCATTCTTTTCAGTTAAAAAATGTTAAAATTTTCACTGAATATTACTAAAATGGGCTGTTTTTCATATGTAAAAGACAAGAATACTGCCAGTTAGTTAAGCATTTCAACTTAAATTTGCCTTGCAAACATCATTTCAGATTTCATCTGATACCCACAACACACATTTTTCAGATAGTGCTTGGATAACTAGTGATTAACTTTGTGGGCATGGAAATAACTGAGGTTAACCTTGTCTATGTGGTTACTTGACTTGTGACCTTAAGACTTTTTTTTTTTTTTGACCTTAAGACTCTTGGTAAGAATTCCTCAAACATTAAGATACAAACATAAGAATAAAAGACAATGAAAGCAAAATAAAACACAACCAACGGTAATAAAGCTCTCAAGCAGCAACATTCACTGAGAACTGTTTGATGTCTGTACTTAGCACAGTGGCTATGGTTCAATTAGCTTCAAGTGGGTATACCTGGTAGAAAAAATGTCCAAGACTAAGTATCATAATTTTCTCAGCTAGAGAAATATTCTGAGAAATATAGTTGCTCAAGTCCACAAAAAGATGTACAAACCACACATTTGGTCTTTATTCTAAAGGTACTGGCATTATTTCTATTTCCCATAGCCAATACATACTTTTCTCAGATTTTTGTGTGTGTGTCTGTGTGTGTGTGTAAAAGGTCAAGTCATTAAAATATGTCCCTACATTTAAAAAAATCACAGAAAGTTAAATCTAAATATCACTTATTTATCAAAACTTTTTAGCGTTCAAATCAAAACACCCTGCTCTTTTTACTGTTTATCTCTTACAGACTCCAACATTAGCATTTTTGCTAATATTTAATATATAAAAAAACTGAAAAATAGTATGTATTGTCTCCAAATATTTTTATGTGGAGAGATCTAAACTTCACAAACTTTGTTTTATTATGTTATCACAGTATATATATTAAAACTATACAATAGCTCATTTTGTTAAAACAGCACTCACATTATATACCTTGACTAACATAGTGAAAGAAACCAAAATTCTTATCCGCAAAAAAATTTACTATTTTATTGTAATGAATATATATATATATGTGCTGAATATATATATATATATACATAAAACAAAAATTGCCATTTCAACATAATAACTTTTTTATCATGTTGTACAACCATAACCATTATCTACTTTCAAATTTTCCCATTATTCTTGAGAGAGGCTCTGGCTCCACAAGCAACTATTCCTTCTTTTCCTTCCCTTCTAGCTTTGGTAGCCAGTCATAGACATTTATCTGTTTTTATTTAACTACATTTCATATAAATGTGATTATATAATATTTTCCTTTTGTGATTTATCTCATTCAGCATGCTTTTTTCAAGGTTCATCCATATCATAGCATGTATCAAGACTTCCTTTCTCTGTATGACAGAGTAATACTCCCTTGTACCCTGTTTCCCCGAAAATAAGACACTATTATTTTTTGCTCCCAAAGATGTGCTAGGTCTTATTTTCAGGGGATGTCTTATTTTCCCATGAAGAAGAATATGGCACACATTTATTGTTAAACAAAAAATAAGGAAATTTATTACCTGTATATGGTACAGTAGTAGTTGTCATCACAAACCAGCATAACCAGACAAACTGAATCCTACAGTATCAAGAATTTGTTACTCCTGCCCCGCACGACTCACTGTCTAATTGTGAGTCAGCGAGACTCCGTCAAGGCAGAGCAAGCAGCAGGCGGCAGCTTGTCCTGGTGGCAGCTCGGGCTCTCTGATTAAGAGACCTCACACTTCCTGTTGCTCTGGCTGTGCTGTGGCCAACTGTGAGCTGCGTGGCAGCGCCCACCGCTATGGTCCAGAGTCCAGTTACGGTAGCTTTGGGGGGCCTTATTATCGGGGAGGCCTTATATTCAGGGAGGTCTTATTTTGGGGGGATGCCTTATATTTCAGCGAGAGGCAAAACTGTAAGTAGGTCTTATTTTTGGGGAAACATGGTATGTACATACTTTTTGTTATATATCCATCTACTGATGGGCATTTAGGTCATCACAACCTTTTGTGCCTAGGACTGCAATGTGACTAGTGTTGCAATATATCTGCGTCCACATCTGCACAGTGCACTTCATGGTTTCTAAGTGAATACCATTTCTTCTGAAATTCTAGTGAACTGAAAAAAACAGCACAGTGTCACATCATAGTTGTAGAAGACACAGTGAATTCATTCTCAGATACAATTAGACTTAAGTAGGGTAGTATATGCACAATCAAGTTTATACTTTAAATTAATCAGGAATACAAACCTTTGCATCTAAAATATTGAGAGTTGTTTCAATTTGTTGAATACGTAGAGAAAGGTTTGACAGTTTCTGAAAAGGAAAGAGTAGACACATTAAGTATAAAGCCTTTGTTAAATTTAACAATAACAAAGGAAAGATGTAAAGGCAATAAAAACCGTGGGTTATGTATCTGTCATTTTCTAGTATACTATTCTTAATGTACTTAAGTAGGAGCGCTTCACAGTTATTTTGTTAAATTGAATTCATAGATTAAAAAAAAAACTACATCAAACTCATTATCAGAGCAATAAACAATCACTGGGAGTGGAACATAAAGTCCACAAGGACAGAGTCTTTTGGTCAATGCTCTACCTGACAGTTAACAGAAGCTTAATAATTATTTGCTGATGAATGACGGAAGGAATTCTTCAAGAACAGCAAGAGAAAGAATAAAAATTAGCCAAAGGCAACTCAGGCCACGATCTGCTTTTATAAATTACTTAAACACATAAGCAGATAAAACTGGGCCCCAAATCAAACTTTTCTTAAGTTTGAAAAGCAAAAAGGATGAAATTGGAAGATAAGCAGCTCATGTTGGAAGGAATGAAAACAAGAGGCAAAAAATGAGAAAGAGTACTGAAAAGCACAGAGCAGCATTCTCCATCAAAACCCAAGATCAACCAGAAGGAAAAGCTTCCAGTGAGTGCTCTAGTTACACTGTCCAATTCAGTAATTTTTAGTCTTATAGATAGATGCAGATATACGTATACATGCAAACAAAATGATAAGATAGCCACAAGAATCTTTAGTTTACACCACTAATCCTACACATTATTACATTCGGTCACACAGTCCAAGAAGAACTTGGCCAGTTTATGAGTTGGCAGATGTGCAGCATTCTGGCTGCTTTCTGGGACACTATCAAGATCCTGACTAACTCATAAACAGAACTGTAACACCCGAGAAATGGTCATTTGGCCAACACTAGTGCGGTGGGGTGGGGTGGAGGGGTGGGGGTAAGGGAACTGAAAAAACCCAGAGTAGTTAGTGATCCTTCACAGGCCACTTAGTTTTAAATGAGCATCTTGATATCTACACAGATATAATTTAGAAATAAAACATTAGAATGTAGTTTTAAAGGCAAGCAAAGTGAACCATCAAGCTAAATTTAAGCGTGACATCCATGATTTGTACACAGAAGGTTTATGTAAGCATAAAAACAGGTTTATAAAATACAGATGAATCCTTTAGAAATTGTAGGCATATTACTGAAAACCACGGGAATTACATTTTGGCAAATTTAATCAGTCTTTTAATTCATTAGAGAAGTTTAGTAATTGAAGAAATCCTATAGTAACAATCTATAAAGGGAATGACAATTTAAAATGCACATACTCACGTTATTAAATCGTATTCTTTTTTTTTTTTAGGGGATAGCATGAACGCAGTCCCCCACTACCACAAATTATGCAGTTGAGTTTCCCACATTTGGGGAAATCACAGGGGTCAGCACATCCGGAGTGCAATGGGTGAGCCTCGCCCTGGGAAAACCACCTTCGTGATCATGGTATCTCCCCTTGCCAGGTAAGTATAAATTGTATTCTTACTTTTTAAAATATTTCTTAGTTTGGAAAACTAAGAACATTTAAAATAGGTGAATAACATAGACATAGCATGCCTATGTAAACATATACTTTTAAGCAATAATCATCACAGAAACATCTGAACATACTACCCCATGTATGCAACATATCACTTTAATTTTCACACCAAGCCCATACAATAGGTTATGTCGATTTTAAAGATGAGAAAACTATATAAATCAAGTGATCTGAATTTAAACACTCCCAACTCTAGAATCAATACTCTTCATCAGATTCTACTTTTGAAACAATTTTACATTATTTATGTATAAAGGAAAATTCTTGGGGATTACCTGGGCAGAACTTTGTGACTCAAAGCCAATAAATGACTGATTGGTTTCTCCTAAAGACAAAGATGCTACTGTGCTGCACGGCAGAGTTCAAATGTTTCTGCTCAAGCTTAATCTCCTGGCACCTGTGCCACCTACCTAAAATTATTTAAAAATTGGTAGGAAAAATTCCAGGGTTATATCCTAAAACTAACTGGTTCTTCATTCCAACGAACACTTAATGGTTCACATGGAATAAGACAGAAACACAGGTCTTAGTCAATAATGTTCTAAAGATGAAAATGTTTATTTTGGAAACAAAGAAAATGTAAAGAGACGTGATTTTCTAATTTTTTTAGATACAGATTAGTGTGGTATAATAATTTTCTGCTTTGGTACTCATCTTACACATTTCCATCGACCATAATGAAAACCTCTATGACTTTATTATACAAGATTATATGAATGTTTTAACTAAATGAGAAATGAAAGATGCTGACTAAAACGGTATAATCTGACTATCCTTGATGGAGATTTTTCTTAAATTTAAAATAATTGTATGGATTGGCATTTTAAGTGGAGGGGGGAGGTTCTTCTTCATTCCACTACTATATTTTACAGCCAACTTCACAAACATACACTAGACTTCAGGAACAACTGAATTTTATACTATGGCCATTAAGTTTCAAAAATTTTCCAAATAGTCTACTTGTAAATTTACAAATCTAAAGTCAAATTTATACAAGGTAAGTAGGTTAAGCAATGATTCTCAAAAGTGACATGTAACCTTAGAAAACATTAGCCCAGCTCTAGAAAACACGGAAAATACCTTCATGGACAATAAAATAACAAAAACAATTTATCATTATATAGATTTTTGCAGCAAGATGAATGACTTTTGTTGATATGAGAAAATCACTTGGGGTCCATGAACTTCGATGGGAAAAAAATTACACATCAGTTAAGAAGGGGAGTGCTAACTTCAGGGTCAATAGTTCAGACCCACCAGCTGCTCCATGGGAGAAAAATGAGGTTATCTGTTCCTGTAAAGATTTATAGTTTTGGACACTCTATTATGCCACTATAAATCAGAATCTACTTGATGACAGGCTTTTTGTTTTTGGAAATTAAAATTTAGGTCTTTTTTAAAACTTTAATCAACAGGATTGCTGTAGTATTCGGAACTATGAGCTTGTCAATAGAAATAACATTTTTAAAAATTACAATTATACAATTAATGTTTTAATAAAGAACTTATTACTGTTTTGAATGTTTACAAGTACTTTTATATTGGTTCTTTTACAATTCTCCACACTTTATGCATTTAAAAACAACTTGGTTTCTCTAGACCGCCAGAGTCCACAGCACGATTAAGGACCTCTGTACGTCAAAGGTAATTCAGCATAATGAATGCTTTTGAGCCTGTTATCACATGATTAATTTTGTAACATACATAGACATATTCTTCTTAGAGGGTGTCAAGTAACAGATGAACCTGGCTTCATTTATGGGCTGAGGTTCACTTCTAAGATGTTTATGCCTTCTGCCTTTTCCTTCTGCACCTGCTAGAGCTTTCGAACATAGGGTTTCTCAATCTTGAGTTCATTAACGTTATTTGTTGTGTGGGGCTGCCCTGTATACAGGAGGACGTTTAGCAGGATGTCTGGCCTCTCCCCACTAAATGCTAGTAGCACCCTTTGGGTGTGACAACCAAAATGGCTACAGACATGGCCAAATGTCCCGTTAAGAACCATTGTTGTAAAGTGTGCTTGACTCTGGATACAGTACAAGGAACACGGTCAATGAGGGGAAGTGCTTGCACCTCTGAAACTTCTCGGGAACGGGAATGGGAAGGTAGTCGTCTTCCCATCACCATCCCTATGAATCCGAAAGGCCTTGGTTTGGGCTAAGAGGCAGAATTATAAGGTGCCTGAAAATGTTCAGAGAAAATGAGAACTACTTGATTTGTCACTTTATCTGTTTCGAAGGCAGAACATTTTATTACAGTGAAAAAAGACAAAAAGCAGAAATATGGAGTTCCAAGTTGAACATGGAAAGAAAAATAAAGTGTGGTTTTCAAGGTTGTAAACTATCCAGCTTGCAGATTTATTTCCTAACAGAGACACAGTCTTTTAAAATGTCAGGTCTCTTGCTATATACCACTAAGCTGTATAAGGGAGCCTCAAAACGTTTGTGCAAATAAACTATCTTTACACTTGATGGATTTTTGGTCAACAAACTAGTGACACAGGCAAAACAGTTGGGGATGGAGTGTTGAAAGAGCAGATGAAGAAAACTCATGAAGCAGGAGGCTTAAACGCAATCACTAAATAAGGAAACCACTTTCTAGGCTTTGAAAATTGTTCAGCACTACAAAAAACTTGAGTATTTTGAGTCCATTTGAGTTGATTCTGACTCATAGCAATCCTGTAAGGGCAGGGTAGAATTGTCCTGGTGTATTTCCAATACTGTAATTCTTTACTGGAGTAATGCTGTCTTCTGTGAAGCTGCTGCTGGTTTCAAACTGCTGACCTTGTGATTAGCAGCCCAGTATTGGTTATCTCGGCTTCAGACAAGCTTTCGTGGGTACGTCTGAATCCTGTTTTACTGGGTATTTTTTAATATAATGATGAAGCATATCAGGCTGGAGAATTTGCTTCTCTCTTGTGAATAATGCTGGTGTTATTTCTTCCCCAGACACTTCACCCGACTCTGGGGTAAAAAAAGTAACCCTTGACTTAGTGCCTTCTATTTTGTCAGTTATCTCTCCCATTACAAAAGGTACAATAATAGATAAAGCTCAAGGAAGGGAGCACCCAGTCTCTGGGTCTGGTGTCAGATAAAAGACATTGAATTAAACCCCTTATTCTATCAATTATCAAACCATATTTTACTTTGTCTTGATAAGCAAGCAAAGTAATTTTGATAAGTAGACACCATAACAGGGATCTTAGCCACTGAAATGTATTCCTATCTCTATGGAAACTTCATTAATAATAACATATCTAACCGGCACTCTTTGCTAAGGCTATACCTTGTTATATGAAACAAGTTTCTTTTTTCATCTCATTTAATTATCTAAGTCCCAAAATTTTACCCCTTTTCTTTTTCCAACTCAATTGCAACCCATGATCCCGATTTGCCCCCCTCTTCCTTCTCTCTCTTTCGATTTTTTTTCCCCCCCCTTAAAAGGAAGGATCTCTGAATTTGGCACTTATTGCTTAATCTGGTACTTAATCCTCACTTACTGCGTTGTTTGCCCAAAATATCTTTATGTCCATGTTTGATATCAGTTAGGCTTCTAGGCATCTTTCGGATCAAGAAACTGAAAACTATACACACACACTTTAAGATGTCAGTCTTTATGGTAAGAGAACAAGTAAGCCATTTCAAAATCGAAAGTGTTTTCGAGGGTAAAATCTTAAAGAGTTTATTTTATTCATTCTCTTCAATCACAATAAACATGATTGAACTATCTCGCAAATGCCTTTCACACAACGAATTCCAAGAAGAGGAGTGCTGGGCTGACCTCAACAACATTAATAAGGATTTAGGAAAATTCACTCAACGGGGTGACAAGAGGCCACAGTACTTGAGCAATGACCCTTTGATTCTTCTTGAACTCCATTACACCATCCTCAGAACAAAACCAAAATCACAAAGTCATGTTCAGGCTGCTCTTTAAGCCAACAGCACGGGACCTACCTCCTCACAAACCGTCGAAAAGTGGTTAAGGAACTGTACGGTGTGCACCACAAATTGGTTTAGAAAGGCCACTGTTCTTTTCTGTTGAATAGCTGGCACCTGTATTATGTAAAAACAAACACGATTCGTATGAGGAAAGTACATCATGCTAACCCTTTGATAGAATGGTATGGATATATAATAACTGGGCGTCTTGCTGTGTGACATCATTCATGTGTTTCCCTGAAATGTGACGTGGGGTGTCCGAAGACGACAGAAGCTACAGAAAAGTTTGGGAAATGACTCTGAATTCACAAATGAGAATTTTAGAAAGCAGTAACAACACACAGAAACACAAAGATAGCTGTTGACCGAATCAAAGCTTCGGTTAAAAGATCGCAAGTGGACCAAGTCGCCAGCTGACCACCTCCGGGCAACACGTGACCCGTGACCCGGGAAGCCAAAGTAGGGAGAGGCAAACATCCCTTAAATTGGTCTTGAGGGGCCTCTTTGCAAAGTGAAAGGCGGGGTCCTCCCTCCCTGAACCTGCTGGAGAGGGGCCCTGGGAGAGAGGGCGGGGCCTGGAGAGGTGGGGTCTTTCCGGGAACCAGGAGTCCCTTCCTCGTCCTCCTCCCCGCTCTCCGAAAGTTCCACTCTGTCTTTTACAAACCTTGGTCAGGTCTATGCCCGAGCCCATGAGAGGAAGCCCGTCCTCATCCATCTCCGCTCCGGGCGGGGGCCCAGCGCACCCGCACAGACTCCTCCCAGGTAGGCCCCGCCCCAGCCGGGAATAGCGTGCAAACACCACCCCAAGCCCCGCTTCCGGGGCTCTTCCCACCGGAAGAAAACGCTAGCCAATCGTTCGGCGACTCCTCGAGAGCCCGCCCCTGCGCGAGGCATTCTGGGATTAGTAGTTCTAGGCTCAGATTGTGGCGTCAGACTGGGAAACCTGGGTGGAGGAGGGAAAGAGTGGCGTTTTTGGTGGTAAAAGTTTTTTAATGATGGCAATAAAATAAAGAATTGCGTCCCTGAGATTAGCCGTGTCTGGCTGTTGTTAGATGCCAGCGACTCGGTTCTGATTCAGTGACCCTGTGCACATCCTCAAGAAACATTGTCTGGTCTTGGGCCATCCTCACAATCCTTGTTAGGTTTGAGCCTACTGTTGCAGCCACTGTGTCAATCCATTCTTTTCCAGGGACTAGTTCCTCTTGATAACATATCCAAAGTAGCCATCCTCGCTCCTAAGAATCATTCTGGCTGTACTTCACCCAATAAGTTTGTTATCAGGGCAGTCTATTATATTTTCAAATATAGTGCCTACGCCGTAATTCAAATGCATCATGCTAGTCCCTTCTAATATTCGTCATATAAAAATACTTCTCGCTCCCTTCTTAAGTATTCCAGAAGGCTATGTAGGGAATACAAAGATTGAGTCAAATGGAATTTGTTGTACTGGAGAGTTTGTTTGTTTTGTTTTTTAGGCTTATATTTTGAAGGAGATAAGACGTGTTCCCCGAGGATTTATAACGTGAAATAAACTTGTCAACTGCCATAGGTTAGGCACAAATCTATAGACAGACCTTCCACTTAGAAGGATCATCTAAAAGTCAATGGCAGCAAAAAAGCTTTGTACTCTTGTACACTTAGAAATCAGAGGCAGAAGTGAGGATGGATGTGATGAGGCTTCTTTTAAAGGGTATATATCCCTTCATGTCCATAAAGACTTGCATACTATTGAATATTTTAAATTGTTATCTTTAGACAATCTATTGAGCCCCTCCCACGTTCTGTCCCAGGTACTGTACCGGAACTATAAATAAAAGTGTAACAGTTCTAAGGAACTGCATTGGCTTAACTTTCCCCCTGATAAGCTCTCTATGAGCTTAGCTTTTCTCCACTGGACTGCAAATGCCTTGGGGTCAACAGTTCTCCATTTCTTGTTGTGGGTAGTGCCATTGAGTAATACCAACTCACAGAGACTCTGTTCAATAGACCAAAGCCCTGCTGGGTCCACTCTAACAACTGTTGTTATGATTGAACCCGTTCATGTTGTTGTGATTGAACCCATTCAAACAATGTTGCAACCCATTTTTGCAGCTTCTCTGTCAATCTATCTCATTCAGGGACTTCCTCTATTTTGTTGACCCTTTACTTTCTCAAGCATGATGTCCTTTTCCAGGGACTGGTCTCTCCATAACATGTTCAAAGTCTGTGAGGGGAGGTATGACCATTCTTCCTTCTAAGAAGCCTTTTGGCTGTATTTCTTCCCAGAGAGATTTGTTTGTTCCCCTGGAAGTCAGTCCATGGTGTATTCAATATTCTTCACCAGTAACATAATTCAAATCCATAGATTCTTCTTCCTTATTCAGTGTCCAGCTTTCACATGCATATGAGGCGATTGGAAATATGTGTTGGGTCAGCAACTTCATCCTCAAAGTGACATCTTTGATCATTAATGCGTTAAAAAAGTCTTGCCTTATGCCATATGTCGCTTGATTTCTTAACTGCTGCTTCCATGAGTGCTGATTGTGGATCCAAGTAAAATGAAGTACTTGATAACTTTAATCTTTTCTCTGTTTATCATGTTATTTACTGGTCCAGTTGTGGGGATTTCTGGGTTGTTTTGATTTTACATTGAGTTGCATCCGCACTGAAGGCTACAGTCTTTGGTCTTTATCAACAAGTGCTTCAAGTCTTCCCATTTTCAGCATGTAAAATTGTGTCATCTGCATATTCAAGATTATTTAATAAGCTTGCTTCTAATCCTGATGTGCTTTCTTCTTCATGTGGTCCAGCTTCTCAGATGTTTGCTCTGATTTACAATTAACATTAATTGATAATTTTAATATACAGTTTTAAGGGCTTAGTATGATCCAGCGTTGGAACCAAGCACTGAAGAGCCATCCATCCATCTAGTCTTGGAATAGATATTCTATAGTACATGTCCAGCACTGATCTGCGAGTTGGCAATCCATCAAGGAACAGAATGTCTAAATGGACAAACACAGACAATTAAAAAGTTAGAGAGCAGATATCAAGTTATGTACAGGTATCAAAAGGGACAGTGGTAAAAATGGAGAGAAAATAACAGTATGATAAAGGCTAGGCTAAACATGTCCTGAAGCAGAGAACTTAACCCAGACTGGTGAAATCAGGGGTGACTTCCTGAAGGAGTCCATGCATGAGCAGAGTTTTGACACTTGTCTACATGAGCAAGATGAAGAAGACTGGGAAGAAGCATTCCACAAAGAATATACGCATGTGCAAAGGCCCTGGTGTTTGAGCCCCAGAGAGCTACATCCCTCAAATAACAAGGACCCTCCCCTGGCTTCCACCCTTTTTTTAGTAGAAATGAGAGTACCACTTAACTCTTTCCAGAGCTCTGCCTGCTGCTGGTGAATGCTCACCCTTTCTCCCTCCACTATCACCCCGAGCTTTGAGACACATAACTAGTCCTGGACTCCCAAGTCGTCTCTCAGACAAAATTTTACTCTTGTGTGGATTTTTATATGTCCTTCCCTCCTGCCATCTCCAATCTGACACACCATGCCTCAGGCTCCTCCAGAATTCAGTTCTTAGCAAAGCCCCTGGTTTCTCAATCTCTTATTGGATCATCCCTCTCGTCCTGCTCTAAATGACTATTTCTCGAGGAAACCACTCTCTGTGCAGCCTGTGGTTGTTTTCTCACCCCATATCCCTGCATCTTCAGGTGAGACAGTATTTTTCTTCTTCCTCACTGCTTCCAGACAATTATTCTTCCTTTTCTCTTGGAAATGCCCAACACCTCTGAATCTGTGCTATTATATATTGAATGATACCTTTCGGTAACTCCCCACAAATGCTTGTTGTTGCTATTGTTGTTAGATGCCATTGAGTTGTTCCAGTTCACAGCTCTTAAGGAACTGTAGCTCATTATTTGAAGCTCTTGGTTTTTGGCTCATGGCTGTTATACTATTCCTATTCTAATTCTCAGTATTTAAATATCTATAAAGATGATCTTCCTGTATCTTGGCTTTGGATCCTTGAACTTCTCAGCTTCGGTGATCTTGCCCTGCATTTTCTTATTTCAACCCTGCACGTCCTTCTATGTTCATGCCCTAGAGCCTGTCCTTGTCAAATAGCTTCTCTTTCTGCATGATCTTACTTTGAAGCCTCTCACTGTCCAGCTGGCTACTTTCCATCTGTACAGCTGGCTCTCTTCTCCTTACCCTGAGCCATCGTTGTTGTTAAGTGCCATCAAGTTGGTTCCGAGTCACAGTGACCTTAAAAACAACAGAGCACAACACTGCCGGGTCCAACACCTAAAGACAAAAGAACTGGCTCTCCATTTCAGAAGAATTAGCCACTAAAAACCTTATGCATAACATCAAAATGCTGTCAGATACTGAGCCTGGGAGTCGAGTCCACTTTCTCCCTGTACCTTTCCTCAGGTCCTCACATCGTTTTCTGGCCCAGTTTAGATCCTGAAACTCATACTAATCACTCAATACACCTGCCCTTCCCTCCATACATTATATTTACCTGGCAAAAAGCTAGTAAATCAAATGTTCTGCATTCTGTACTACAGTTAATCTTACCTACGTCACAACAAACGTTCCTGTCTCTGTGAACTAGATAACACTCCTTCTCACCCACCCAAAAATATCACTCCAATTACTTTCCCCATCTTTACTCCATCATCAATGTTTCCTTTTTATGAGCCAAATACAAGTGTAAATTTAATTTGCTTTGGATTTTTCATATTTAATCAAAAGTCTGAAGTCTCCAAAGAACTAGGGAACAAAGTTACATATTCGTGGTTCTTAGAGTCCTATTTCCTTTCTCCTTTAAAAATTTTAACAGTTTTATTGATATATTATTCACTGTGGTAGTTACATAATTGGTGTCAATTTGGGACTTGAGAGTATTAAGAGTGAAGGGGTGGAGTCTAGTCTGTCAATTGGGTCCTGGTCAATGAGGCCTCTGTGTGGGCATGGCCTTCTCCTGAGAATTCTCAGAACTGCTGGATTTCCTCCTTGGAGGTGGGAGAGACTCTCTCTCTCAACTCAGTCCCTTGGAGATGCTCTGCTGACAAGACTCATGGCACTACGCTGATAGCCCCCGTGCCCTGGGAACTGGAGGAGCCACATGGAGACCCCTGCCAGCACTGAGATATTTCTACCGCCACTGGATCTACAAGACTTTGCACCCACTGGCCTGTGATTGACCTGTAATTGGTGTCATTGCCTGTTTTTTGTGAGCCTGAAGAGGACTTCATAGATTGGTACTGGACATATGGGCTAATATCGGACTTATGGACTTGATCTGCACTGAACTGGGATTTAACTGCTCATATATAAAGCTCTTTCTTATATGCATATGAGTGTCTATAAATTAGTTTCTCTCATCTACCCAGACTAGCACATTAACATACCATACAATTTAATGGTTTAAACATTTTTAAAAGAATTGTGCAATTATCAACACAATCAACTTTAGAATCCTTTCTTCATTTTTGTACTCATTATTAGCTCCCTATTTTCACCAAACCTTTCCTGCCATAATCCTAAGAAACTATTGATCCGTTACTATCTCTATAGATTCCCCTATCCTGGATTTCATGTAAAGAAAAACATATACAAAATAAACAAAAAAACCTGTTCAACAACAATAACAAAATAAAACAGAGAAAAATCTCAGACATAAAGAAAGTAATAAAAACTAGAACAAATTTAAAGTGGGTCAAAAGGAGAACAAATGATAAGGTGTTAAATCTTAACCTAACTATAT